GACCAAGGCTCTCAGCCCCTCCTTGAACAATGGTCACTGGGGGCAACCCAAGCCTTCTTCTTGCTCCAGCTCTGTGGCTGCCGCCACCTTTGTTGGGTTAACCTGTTAACCAGGGAGTTCCCTTTTTAATGACGCAACCTGTAACAGGCGCGTATTCTTTCACTAGGACCTGTCAGGACGTCACACCCGGAGGACGTAATTTCGTATTATTTTTTTTTACTTACACTTAATGAAAATAAATGAAATATATATTTTTTTCATTTATTTATATATATAAAGCACAAAGGAAAATACAAAATTACAAAAAAAAAAAAAATAGAAAATACCGACAAAAAAAATGAACACATCGAATTAAAAAATTATAAATTTTACAATGATAAAGATTACAAAAAATAGCTGAAACCGGTGTAGCTCAGTGGATAGAGCATTGGTCTTCAGACCTAAAGGTCCCGGGTTCGATTCCAGTCAAGGGCATGTACCTTGGTTGCTGGCACATCCCCAGTGGGGGGTGCCACTGGGGATAGGACCCATGCCCCTCTTGTTCAAAGATGTACCTCTAGTACACATCTCATCGATATTTCTAACTCTCTATCCCTACCCTTTCCTTCCTCTCTGTAAAAAATCAGTAAAATATTAATTAAAAAAAAAGATTACAAAAAATATATACTGTCCCTCTCAGGGCGCAACATATATTTCAAGGACGTATTCATATGTCCTACCCGTTCCCGATATTGTTTACGTTTGACGTATTTATAGGTCCCGCTTGGTTAACAGGTTAATTTGCATACTCACTGGTGGATGTAGCCGAGGGACGGTCAATATGCATGTTTCTCTTGTATTAGTGTAGATATTTATTTTTAAAATATATTTTATTGATTTTTTACAGAGAGAAAGGGAGAGAGATAGAGAGCTAGAAACATTGATGGGAGAGAAACATTGATCAGCTGCCTCCTGCACACTCCCTACTGGGTATGTGTACGCAACCAAGGTACATGCCCTTGATTGGAATCGAACCTGGGACTCTTGAGTCCACAGGCCAACACTCTTATCCACAGAGCCAAACTGGTTAGGGCATATTAGTGTAGATATTTCATGGTGGGGGATAAGTGTGGTGATTGCTTGGGATGAGGTGGGTGGATGTGAAGAGGGCATAGAGGGGATAAATGGTGATAGAAAAAATAAATATAAAACTATAAAGTGAATATAGCCCTGGCTAGTTTTGTCCAGTGGTTAAGAGCATGGGCTTTTGGTCAAGGGCCAATACCTCAGCTGCAGGCTTCCCAGACCCATTAGGGGCAAGTGTGGGAGGCAACCAATTGATGTGTCTCTCTCACATCGATATTTCTTACTCTCTCCCTCTCCTCCCATCCTTCCACCCTCTCCAGAGATCAAAGGAAAAAATAACATTGGGTGAGAATTTCAAAAAGTAATAAAGTGAATGTAGGATGATCAACAGAAATTCTTCAAATAGGGAGCACAGTAGAAATTTTAAGAGAGACAGTTTTAGACACATCTGGACAGATATTAAGGAAGGTAGGATGGTTGGTGCTTGCCTAAAACTAGAATGGAATGTTATGTGAGGGAAGAGATTATGTCCACTTGGTTCTCAGTGGATCATCAGGGACTGGCAGAGTATCTGAAAAATAATAGCCAATGGAGAACTTTTAAACAAATAAAAGAGTAAAGCAAAGATATGCAGTACCTGTTATGTGCAGGTGCTTGTGTGAGTGTTACTGATATAGGCAATTTATATTGTAATAATAGGAGAAAAGCATAAGAGAATATTAGGATGGGGTCTAAATAATTCAGAGATTTAGAAAGCTTCTTGGAGGAATTAATTCCTGAGCTGAGTTTTGAGGAAAGAAGGTAAGGAAAGGCACTGGGACACAGCATGTGTTAAATTCCTTTGAAATGAAACATCTTTATGCATTTGAGGAACCCAAAACAGTGTCCTCTGGCTGGAGAGAATATGGTGCCATGATGGTGTGATGGTAGATTTGGTGACAGGAACCTCTAGAATTTGAAGGACCTTTGTATGCTATACTAAAATTTATGTTTTATTCTAAATCTGGTGATCACTAAGAGATTTTAAATAGAGGATGCCATGATCAGATCTGCCTTTTGAAGATTGCTCAGGCATCAGTGGTAGTGGGAAGTGGGGAGGTTTAAACTAAGACATAAAGACAATGGAATAGATATGAAAGATGTTACTGTGGAAGAGATTGGATGTGGGGGCTGAGTGAAAGAAAGGTATTAGAATGACTGCCAGGCTTTGGATGTATTGCACTTAATGAACTAGGTAATGGAAGAGGAGCAGTTTTTTGGTTTTCTGAAAGTGAATGGGGAGGACATAACAATTATAAACTCAATCTTTACTTGAGCTTGAGGTACCAGTGGGAAATATAACTGTGCAAGTTCTGCTTTTGATGCCAACATCATGGAGGTCAACCACACTCTCTCACAAATGTTTCTTGTGGGATACAGGTCTTGAAGCAGTATGGGATTTCGGAACTTTTATGTGCTATGAGGCCCCTTAAAAAGAAATTGGGGGGGAGGGAGGGATGAGGGTGCGGGTGCCTCATAAGCAGATTGAAGGTCACTATAAAATGGAGAAATAATCCTTATTACTGTAACCTAAGACCTCATTTCATACATAAATAAAACGGCACCATGAGCAACAAGTCCAGTCTGCCATCCATTAAACTATAAAAGCAGTAGAATAGATATGATAGAATAAGACATATTACTTTATCTCTTTGAAATTATACCCTAAGTGTGAGCATTTGAGGTCTTGCTCCCCAGCATATGTTGTCATCTTGGCTCAAATAAACTCTTATAAATGTTAAAAAAAAAAAAAAAAAAAAAAAGAAAGAAAGAAAAAAGAAATGACACTGAGTGATCCTATATATTCCATAGTGAAAATTTTCTTTGTAGAAGAAAAAAATTGCTATCAATTTTATATGCAATTTCCCTGCATAACTATAATTGCTAAACCTCCTTTCCTTATTATGCTGTTAAGTATTATTTTTGTCCTATTTTTTCAACTAAATGGCTATTAGCTCTATTAACTTAGAAACTTAGTTCAGTAAAGATGTTTCCTGGCAATCTCATCTCATAAGACTACACACTATGGTTCTTAAAGTTTCACCCTCTTATGCGTGTATTATTCTTGCTCAAATAACATTTAATGGCCCAAAGAAGCATCTTTAGCCATTCCCCTAGAACTCGAAGTTGTATTCACGATGCATTTATTTCTTATTTCCATCCCAAGATTCTGGTAGGAATGAAATACTTGTAAAAATCATTCACTTCTAAAACCACAAATTGTTAGTCTAACCCCGTGGTCAGCAAACTATGGCTCGGGAGCCACATTAGTCTCTTACGCTCCTTGAGTGTGGCTCTTCCACAAACTACCACGGCCTGGGCGAGTCTATTTCGAATTAGTGGCGTTAGAAGACTAAGTTTAAGAAATTTGACTCTCAAAAGAAATTTCAATCGCAGTACTTGGCTCTGTTGACTGAGTTTGCAGATTTCTAGTCTAACCCGTCTCCTTCTAAGTTATCTTTCTCCCTCCATCCACTAACTAAAGGTCTGATTCATCACCTCCTCATCTCTCACGAAAAACAAACACTAAAAACATAAAACAGTAGATCCTGCTCTACTTCCCCAAACAGAATCCCATCCTGGACTGAGAAAGAGAAAGGCAACGTGGAACCAGCTCCGGTGGGCGCCCCCCGCAGACCCAGAATCGGGGCCAGAGCCGGGCTGGGAGCGCCGGCCGGCAGTCCCCGCAGGGACCGGGCTGTTTGCCAACAAGAGCCGGTCCCGCAGCCCCGGGGCCCGGCTGCTGCGGAGTCAGCGCGGAGCGGGAGCCAGGCCGCGGCCCGCAGCACGCCAGGAATGCCGAAGACACGCCAGGAATCCGGGCCGCGGCGGCCGGCCGCCCGGGGCGACCAGCCAGGTCCCACAGCCCCCGGCGGGCCCGTCGCGGAGGCCCTCGGCGGAGCGCGGCGCGCGGGCCTGGCGGAGCCGGGGAGACACCGCTGGGAACCGGGGACCCGCTCGTTCCCGAAAGTCGAAGCCCGCAACACTCCGCGCGGTCCCGGCCGCAGGACGCCCGCAGCGAGTCCGGGCGGGCGTGGGGGCGGGGCCTGCTCCTTCCCCGCCCCCAGCGGCGACGCCGGCCCGACCGCGCCCTCAATGCGCCTGCGCGCGGCTGAGGCCCGACTGGATTCGGCCGCTGGGCGTGCGACGGCGCCGGCGTTCTCTTCCCGGCATGCAGCGCGGGGGGCGGCCCTGCGTCCACCTCCCTCCTTCCCCAACCCGCCCCTCCCCCTCCCGCCGCGGCCCCCCCCCCCGCCCCCCTTTTCCCTAAAGTGAGTGAGTGAGACGGGCAGATGGAGGAGGGACTGTAATGGCGGCGGCCGGCAGCTCCCTGCTCTGACCCACGGCAGACCTACAGCACCCATCCCCTCCCCGCCCCGCTGCCAGCCGGCCTCCGCCCGGCCGCTCGCGCGGGGCCCCCCTCCCCGGCCCTTTCCCCGGCTGCCGGCGTCTCGCCCCGCGCCCCGGCCGGGGCCCCACACACAATGGACGAGCTCGCGGGAGGCGGCGGCCCGGGGATGGCGGCCCCTCCGCGGCAGCAGCAGCAGCAGCAGCAGCAGCAGCAGCAGCAGCCGGGACCCGGGGGGAACATGAGCCTCCCGCCGGGGGGCAACGGCGCGGCGGGCGGCGGGGGTCCTCCGGCCGCCGAGGGCGCGGGCCCCGCCGCAGGCCCCGAGCTGTCCCGGCCGCAGCAGTACACCATCCCGGGCATCCTGCACTACATCCAGCACGAGTGGGCCCGGTTCGAGATGGAGCGGGCGCACTGGGAGGTGGAGCGGGCCGAGCTGCAGGTACCTGGCCGGCGGGCTCGGTGTGCGGGACGGCTGGCGGCGGGGGTGGGAGCGGGACTTGGCTCGGAGGGAGCCCGCGGCCGGCGGGAGCCCCGAGGGACCTACCTGTGCGGCTCGGGAGGCGGCGGTCCTGGCCACGGGTCTTGCGAGAGCCTTCCTGCCCCCTTCCCGCAGGAGCCGGCTTCCCGGGCCGGCCTCGCTAGCTGCGCGGTGCGGGCTTCCCCGGGGCAGCCATTTTGGCTTTTACTATGGCGCCTGCGGGGGCTCCCGGAGGCGGCCTGCGGGCTCCCGGCTGCGGGCTGCGCGCCTTTCGGCGGGGGGAGAGGCCGGCGCGGGCTGCGGAGCCCTGAGTTTGCTTCTGTGTGTGCGCCCCTCGAGGTGCAGAGCCCGCCGAGAGGGACTGGGATGGGGATTTGGCCACCTTTTCCTGGCTCACCCCCCCCTCCCCTCTTTCCGGTTTGGCACGTCTGGCCCCCTCCCCTGAAGTTGGTACCTACTTGCCCCTTGACAACCATGCTTCTTCCCGGGGCTGCTCGCTCTTAGGCACAAGGGCTTGCCGCTGACTGTGAAGTTTTCATTTCCTACCGCCAACTTTAAGGGCCTTCTTAGCTGGGGAGCTGGCTTCATGCACTTAGAGTCACTCCCCTTCCAGTTCCTCCTTAGTTTGGGACTGACTCACCAAGCTTCTCCATACAGGCATGTCTTGGAGATATTGCGATTTCTTGTCCAGACCACTGCATGTAAGCAAGTGGCAATGTTTTTTTGTTTGTTTGTTTGTTTTGCCGGTGGAGGGTCTTGCTTTCAGTTTGTAAAAACAAAACAAAGCCAAAAACCCCGCACATAATCTGAAGCAATAAAGCGAAGCGCAATAAAACGAGGTATGCCTGTACTGAATTTTTTTTTTTTTTTTAGGGTACCCTTCATCAGGTCTCCCCCTCCTCCACCCTCTTTACCTGTAAAAAAACCAAACAAACTAGATTATCTGTGTTGTGTTTGTGAAACGACTGAGAAATATAATTAACATTAGCTGGGAGTAAAATGTTTTTATCTCAGTTTACTAACTCACAGAGGGGAAGCAGATGTATATATCCTCAGGACCCTTGCTAATTAAGGTGAAACTTTGACGGGCTGGTTTACCTGTCTTGGAAGTTGTTGGTAATGTAAGGGCTCGTGTTTTGGATTTCAGAATGGTTACATGTTGTTAAAAGGATTGTTGGACATTTGGGGGTACTTGTGTTTATTTTTAAATCATTTCCATGTCAAAAATAGGCTTAGGGGAGAGGGGGGAAGCATGTATCTAAATGGTGTTGCACCTGTTCTTCAGATTGGTATGTATATACTAGTATATTTAGAATGTCAGTAGTATTATTCACTGATATATATGCCTACGGTGAATAGTCAGGAAAATATGTTTAAAGAAGGAGCTTTGGGTTAACATGTCCTCAAAGAAATTTTTATGGTTATCCATATATACTCGATTTGATTGTGAACTAGTAAACTTTTATGTGACTCTACAGAGTGGGTAAAGGGTAAGAATAGTTATATATATTTTTGACACGTACCAAGTTTTGAAAAAGTTAATTATAAATTAACACCTGTTAGTGAATTCAATGTTTTAGGATTGTGCTTTGATATATTATAGCGCTTTCAAAAAGTTTGTAAACATTGTCTATTTTTTAAAAACTACTGTATGTATAGTCTGCTTTAAAATACCTGGGACTTATAAGAATTCTGCTGATATATAACTCTACCACACCAGGTTGCAAACTTAATATTATGTGTGAGTGAAGATAGTGAGGTGTTTATTTTTAAAAATTTCATTAGCAAATGATTCGAAGTTTGGACTCACTGAAGACTTCACCAGTCCAAAATAGTGTTTTTGAACTTTGTACTATTGCACAAAAGCTTGGATTCTACCACTTTTCAACTTAGCAATTGCATTATTCATTTATTAGCTTCAGTAATTTAAGTACATACATTAGTGAGGTCTCTGTTGTCTGCCCTAGTCCTTGCTTTCTCATCTGTTTTTTCCTTGACAGTAACAGAAACGTCTTTAAAGGAAGATTTCTTTTACTTGCTTGTTTGCTTTCAGTTGATCTACTCTTGGCATATTAGTTCTGATGTAGCCATTCTAAGTGCTGCTTTTTGTTTGCTTGCTTGCTTACTTTGAAGAAGTTCTACAGGGTTTCTAGGCTCTTAATTTTTTCAGGGGTTTTTATTATTTCATACTGATATATATTTTTTAAAATAAAATGTTCATGATTGTGTTCATATGCTTTTATTCTATACATTTCTCTGAAATGTTTTATTGGATTACTTAGTTAATAGGGTTTCAGGTTTGCTTCTGTAATGTTGAATTCGCTTTAAGTATGTTCAGTCTTTAATAAAATTGTGCACATTTTAAAATGTATGTGTTAAATAAAAATTTATTGGGTGGGATTTAAGTGACGAATCAGTGGATTTCAACTGTAAACTTTTATTTTAAGAAAGTTAAATAAGACAGCCTACATATTGTATATAGTCTTGGGTACACTGTTGAGAAACTGTTCAATAATTAATATGAAGAGGCAAAGATACATCTAATTTTAATGTAAAATTTTAATATGGAATCATGTCCTCCTTGACTTTGAAAGATTTTAAATTGGAATTTTGCAGTATGTTTTTTTTCCATTCTAAAAGGAATTTGGGGTAAAGCCCTGTTTTAAAAACTTGGAACTAAGGAAAGGTTCATGTCTTAAAGCTCTTTTTATCTTTGTATCGATGCCTTACCTTGTATTAAAATATTTGTTATTAAGGCTCTAGGACAGTGAATTCTGAACAAAAATGTCAGTCAGAATCACTTGTAAAACTTAAAAAACAAAAACAAACAAAAAACAAAAACAAAACAGGTTTCTGCCTCATTCTCCAGAGATTTGGCCTAGAACTTGGAAAAAAAAAGTACTTTGTAGGATTTTGGCAATTCATGTTATCTTATATAATAAAAGCCTAATATCAAAGTGTAATATGCTAAGGCCACTCAGTCACTTGCTATGACATGCACTGACCACAAGGAGGCAGATACTCAACCAATGGACCAGTCACTATGACGTGCACTGACCACCAGGGAGCAGACTTTCTGACCTGTAGGTTAGCTTGCTGCTGGGATCTGGCCAATTGGGGCTGAGCAAAATGGGCCAGACATGCCCTGGAGCCCCCCCCTTGCAGTCCCTCTCCAATTGTGTCCCTTCCCAGCCCCGATTGTGCACCAGTGCAGTCCCTTGGCCTGGCCTGCTCCCTCTCACAATCCCAGACCTCGGGATGACGAGAGCCGGTTTCGGCCCAGTCCCACAGGACAGGCCCAGGGACCACACTGTTGCACGAATTCGTGCAATAGGTCTCTAGTATAAAAATACTAGGTGTAGTGGTTAATAATGCGGATTTTTTTTTTAATAGATGGAATATATATATATATATATATATACACACACACATACATATATATACACACACACACACAAAAGTTGATTTGTGTGCTATTTTGTTGTATTGACAACAAGCTTCAAAACTTCTTATGTCAAATTTGCTGAAGGTGTTAACATTATAGATATTTTTACATTTCAAAATATCAAATTTTGTGCCAAAAAAAGCCTTTGCGGGAAGTTTTATTTTGAAGAAAAAGTTATTGTATACTTCGGGAAGCTCATGGTGAACATGTTCCATCTCAAGATACTTGTGAATGCTGCTTTAAACCCTTTAAAAGTGATAATTTTGATGTGAAAGACAAAGAACGTCCAGATCAACTGAAAAAGTTTGAAGACCAACATTTACAAGCATTATTGAAGATGTCTGTCAAACTCAAAAACAACTTGCAGAAAGATTAAAAGTTGCTCAGCAAACAATTTCCAATCGTTTACAAGCAATGCGAAAGATTTTTTTTTATTGATTTTTTTTCCCCCCCCACAGAGAGGAAGGGAGAGGGATAAAGAGTTAGAAACATTGATGAGAAACATCAGACGGCTGCCACTTGTACAGCTAGTGGGGATGTGCCCGCAACCCAGGTACATGCCCTTGACCAGAATCGAACCTGGGACCTTTCAGTCTACAGGCTCTATCCACTGAGCCAACCAGTTAGGGCAATGCGAAAGATTTAAAGGAAGGAAAATGGGTGCCACATCAATTGAACGAAAGACAGTTGGAAAATCGAAAAGTCATCAGTAAAATGTTGCTTCAACCGCACGAAAGAAAGTCTTTTTTTACACTGAATTGTGACCGGTGATGAAAAGTGGATTTATTTTGAGAATTCCAAACCCACAAAATCATGGGTTGATCCAGGTCAATCTTCAACATTAACTGCAAGGCCAAATTGCTTCAGAAAGAAGACAATGCTCTGCATTTGGTGGGATCAGGAAGGTGTGTATTATGAGCTTCTAAAACCAGGTGAAAACATTAATACTGATCGCTACCAACAAAATAATCAATTTGAACCACAGTTTGATCGTGAAACCACCAGAATGTGTCAGAAGACACTGTAATTTGCTTCATAATGACACACCATCACACACTTCAAAACCAGTTAAGACATGTTGAAAGATCTTGCCTGGGAAGTATTAACCCACCCGCTGTATTCACCAGACCTTGCTCCTTCAGATCATGTCTTGTTCCGGTCACTGGCACATGCACTTTCTGAGCAGCACTTCAAAACGTATGAAGAAGTGGAAAATTGGGTCACTGAATGGCTTTCCTCAAAACAAGAAAAATTCTATTGGGACGGTATCCACAAATTACCTGAAAGATGGGGGAAATGTGTAGCTAGTGATGGACATTACTTTGAAAAAAGCACTTTAGATGTTTCTCTTGAAATTATCGTGTTTTCTTAGATTATAAAATCTGCATTATTAACCAGTACACCTAGTAATAACTGCCTTTTAATCAGCATTACAACCTTATGCACATACCATTCCTGTTTTACAGTTGAGACAAATTTAGGTTAAATAACTGCCAAAGTCACCCAGCTATAAAGTGTTGCAGTTGACACTTGAACCCAGGTTGTCAGAATTCAAAGTCTATGTTCTTATCACCACTCTTGTAACCACTGTGTTATATGGTCATCTGTCCTGTAATTCTCTGTCTTCCATCGTGTGGCATCACTTCAGTACATTTCAAGAAAATTCTTTTGAGCCCCCATGATGTATCAAGTGTAATTCATGTATATTGCAAACATGTCCTTATATTTTTTTCTATAGTTAGTATGTAATAAAAAATATGGCTGAAACTGATTTGTCTCAGTGGATAGAGCATCTGTCTGCTGACTGAGGGGTCCCAGGTTCAATTCCAGTGGGGGGTGCGCAGGAGGCGGCTGGTCGA